GGTGTGGTTAAAATTTTCATTGTTTACACGGCGCCTGTCTCTCCTGTCCGGTGGCTGAGCGGTGCTGCCTCCCGGGTGGGGTGGGGGGCGGAGTGGGTGAGGGTGCAATTGCTTGCCCCTGGCCCTGTGTCGGCACACTTAGCCCAGCACTACCCCCCCCCGAGCATAACCCATGTGCATCTGTCCCTGTTCCTTCTTGACTCTCTTCTATTTTGTCCAGCAGGAGCTTGTGTGTTCTCTGTTCTCTCCGCATCCTCCCTAGAGATACTTTTTGGATCGTGTACACATAATGTTATCCTAATTAATTATCATATTAATTTGATTAAATAATTCTCTCTTATTGATAAATCCCAGTTAATTGACACTAACAGTCGCTTATCATACCTATAAAGTTAATTATGTCGATATTCTTGGTTACATATATATTTAACTCGTGTCCAGTTGTCAAACATTATGAGAGAGTTAATGTAGCTGATTATTGATTTACTGACAGTATTAATTAACAGTATGGAGGATTTGTGGGACTTACTTATAACCCGGAGATTGAGGCGCTGAGAGTGCTGATGAATAGGCGCTAAGGGACTGTTATCTGATAAAGACTGAACCGAAGTGTCGATTTTTTTCGGGGTTGACGACAAAGTTCAGCGGACACCCGTGATACATCTGTGAATCGCACCAAACCGTACTGTTGGTTTGAAGGTTGGGAGAGGTTGTTGGAGGTCAAGGTGGGGGAGAGGTTGTTGGAGGTCGGGGTTGGGGTGGAGAGGTTGTTGAGGTCGTGTTGGTGAGAGGTTGTGGAGGTCAAGGTTGGTGAGAGGTTGTTGGAGGTCGTAAGGGGAGAGTTGTTGGAGGTTGTAGGTTGGTGAGAGGTTGTTGGAGGTCAAGGTAGGAGAGGTTGTTGGAGGTCGTGGGGTTGGTGAGAGGTTGTTGAGGTCGTGGTTGGTGAGAGGTTGTTGGAGGTCGTAAGGTTGGTGAGAGGTTGTTGGAGGTCGTAAGGTTGGTGAGAGGTTGTTGGAGTTGTAGGTTGGTGAGGAGGTTGTTGGAGGTCGTAAGGTTGGTGAGAGGTTGTGGAGGTCGTAGGTTGGTGAGAGGTTGTTGGAGGTCGTAAGGTTGGTGAGAGGTTGTTGGAGGTCGTAAGGTTGGTGAGAGGTTGTTGGAGGTTGTAAGGTGGGTGAGAGGTTGTTGGAGGTCGTAAGGTTGGTGAGAGGTTGTTGGAGGTCGTAAGGTTGGTGAGAGGTTGTTGGAGGTCGTAAGGTTGGTGAGAGGTTGTTGGAGGTTGTAAGGTTGGTGAGAGGTTGTTGGAGGTCGTAAGGTTGGTGAGAGGTTGTTGGAGGTCGTAAGGTTGGTGAGAGGTTGTTGGAGGTCGTAAGGTTGGTGAGAGTTGTTGGAGGTGTAAGGTTGGTGAGAGGTTGTTGGAGGTCGTAAGGTTGGTGAGGAGAGGTTGTTGGAGGTCGTAAGGTTGGTGAGAGGTTGTTGGAGGTCGTAAGGTTGGTGAGAGGTTGTTGGAGGTCGTAAGGTTGGTGAGAGGTTGTTGGAGGTCGTGGGTTGGTGAGAGGTTGTTGGAGGTCGGGGTTGGTGAGAGGTTGTTGGAGGTCAGCGAAGGTTGGTGAGAGGTTGTTGGAGGTCGTAAGGTTGGTGAGGTTGTTGGAGGTCGTAAGGTTGGTGAGAGGTTGTTGGAGGTCGGTGGAGAGGTTGTTGGAGGTCGTAAGGTTGGTGAGAGGTTGTTGGAGGTCGTAAGGTTGGTGAGGTTGTTGGAGGTCGTAAGGTTGGTGAGAGTTGTTGGAGGTCGTAAGGTTGGTGAGAGGTTGTTGGAGGTTGTAAGGTTGGTGAGAGGTTGTTGGAGTTCGTAAGGTTGGTGAGAGGTTGTGGAGGTCGTAAGGTTGGTGAGGTTGGGAGGAGAGGTTGTTGGAGGTCGTAAGGTTGGTGAGAGGTTGTTGGAGGTTGTAAGGTTGGTGAGAGGTTGTTGGAGGTTGCATGGGTTGGTGAGAGGTTGTTGGAGGGTCGTAAGGTTGGTGAGAGGTTGTTGGAGGTTGTAAGGTTGGTGAGAGGTTGTTGGAGGTCGTAAGGTTGGTGAGAGGTTGTTGGAGGTCGTAAGGTTGGTGAGAGGTTGTTGGAGGTCGTAAGGTTGGTGAGAGGTTGTTGGAGGTCGTAAGGTTGGTGAGAGGTTGTTGGAGGTCGTAAAGTTGGTGAGAGGTCGTACCCCATGGATCAGTACCCGGACCATTACTATACATGTATTGTACCTGTATACTGTACATTAACAACAGATGTAGTCGTTGACAACTTTATAAGGAACTCTGACAAGAACTCCAAAAATTACTGGAAGAAGTAAACAAACTTTTAGTATGAACTGATAGGTAGCAGATCCAATTTAATGTGGGAAAAATGTAAAGATCTAAGGCAAAATAATGGAAATGGGGGAACAGATATCAGCTGAAAGACATATATAGAGCAGACGTCCGCCTCTCTCATATTCATTCGGTCAGAAAATTTATATATTCATCCAAAATATGTGATGAGTGGCCGGCTAAGTTGATAAAGTATGATAAGGTTGTTTGAACACTTGAAGCAGCAAACATCCATTTTGATGTTCTTTGTAAGACTGAGAAAGTACTATCTGGCAGCTGACAACACTCATGTAACAAAATGCTTGAAATAATTAGTCATAATTCACAGATTGTTTTTCTGAAATTTGGGGTAAGAAAATTGTGTTCTCATTTGTTTCAAATCCATTTATCTAAGCTGACGAGGTCAGTCATTGTCAGCCATAACATTGACGAGGGAATTTTGGTGATGCAAAGTTGTAGCTCCTGGACCTGCAGGTTAATACTGTCTCTTGAAACACTCACACAAAACTACAGAGTCATTGTTGGACTTTGGGGGGAAAAGTGCATCAGGTAACACTGAAATGAGATTTCATCGTGTTTTTAAGGTTTGGGTCAAGCCACTGTTGTCAGCAGGATTATGTAAAGAACAAGTACTGCACTGCTAAAACTCACTAATAGTCACACAAAGGAACTTACCGGTAATACAGTATATGCATACTGCATAATTACACTGTGTGATGGCTTTAGGGCCGACCAGTGTCAGACACGAGGGGCGTTGTTGTTGAGGTGTATGTGTGGTGGTTATGGATGCTGTAGTTGTTCTCATGTGTTAGTGAACGACAGTGTTGTTGTGTATCATTTATGGTGAAGGATGTTGAGGTGTTTATGAAGGATGTTCTAGTTTATATGGTGACAAAGGAGAGTTTATGTTTTTGAGTATGAGTGGTTGTAAAGGAGGTTGTGTGTATGTGTAGTAGTGGTGTATGTACGGTCAGGGTCAAAAGTCTTGAACACTTGACAGTATTTGGCAGGTAAGTTCCCGAAGATCTTAGGTATTAAGGAGAGTTTTATCCCATTTTGTGGTTCAGGCATAATATGTGGTGACAAGTAGTGTTATTAGTATATCCCAATCATGTATGTATAACTCAGAAGTAGATGCCAGATATTGCTAAGTGTTCAAGACTTTTGACCCCGACTGTACAATATTAAAGTTAGAATTTGTTAACACGAGGCGTACTGTAAGCCTTTCGAAAAATATCCAAACCCCATTTGATGTATAACGTCACGTGCAACCCCGACATGAAAGGGTATTATTCACTTACCGAGAGAGATAGCTTAGCGCTGTCGTGGGTGATGGTTGGCTGGAGGCCCTCAACCTGGTGTGAGGTGAAAGTAAGGTAGCCTCCCACCGGCAGGAACATGACCAGAGTTACTTGGCTGGGTTCTACCAGTGAGTCCTCCAGTTGACTGAGGCTGAAGATTACCTCAACCACGTCCCTGTAAATAATCGTCATTGATATTCATTCATGGTAAAATGTAACATGTAACATGGTGGGATGAGAACGCATAGTGATTTGAGGATGTAGTGACAAGGAAATACATAGTGGCTTGAGGATTATATATACAGTACACGTAGACTTCAATATACTGTACAAACAAAACTTCTACTAGTCAGGACTCAACACGGGACCTCTGCGTGTGAACAGAGAGCGCTACCACAGCACCACAAGGGCTGCATGAACGACCTTCAGACGTTTGTCTCAAAAACGCATAAGTGATGACAATTTGCTATTGCCAGTGGCCGTGGAAGGTTGTGTGTATGGAAGATGTATTGAAGGTGAGCACAGCTAAATATTGTGCTCATCTCCCCCGCTCCCATTCAATCTCTAGTACATTTTTATACGATTTCTTCTACTTCAGAAAATAAAATTCGTTTTTTTTTCACCTCTACTTAGTAGTCGCTTGAATATGCCCCCTTGTATCCCAGGTAAAGTTCATCCACCTGGACAGTACATTGGTGCTAATCTCCAGGTGATCCATCAATGTTATTGATCTCTGCGTCGACTTGTACTCTCGGTCTTGGACTTAATGGTCGCGACCACATCACTGGCATATAAAGTAGTTCACACACACACACACACACACACACATTTATGCCTTGACCATCAGAGAATCAGGGCATCCTTCACGCCCACCAGTAAGATGCCAGGATACCCAGAGAGGAGTGCCCATGTGAACCGATAACTCCTGCTGAACATATAGCAAGTTGCTAATCACCTGTGACTGCAGGATATCGAACCCGGACCACCACTTTACACAAACTATTCTGTTGCAAGTACACCATACATAACACCCGGTACATTACTCCATACCACTTGCTAGAGATACAGTACACCCCCAACGTTGTTACAACAGCACCCCATAGGCTGCTGTTGGATCCATAACAAAACCTGCTGCACCCACACCACAGCCTGTTACATCTACACCTAAACTACAGCCTGCTTATACAGCAAAACTTGGTACACCTACACCACAGCCTGCTAAACCTACACTACAGCCTTCTAAACCACACAGCCTCCTACTGTACTTACACTACAGCCTGTTACACAAGAGCCAAAGCTGGTATACATGAAGACTCACAAGGGGGAGTAGATGAAGGTGTCATTTAGGGTAAGAGAGTGGTTGAGTCTGGGCAGGTTGGCGGTGATGTTCTCTCGCACCACCTGCAGTGACGCCACCTTCACCACCACCGGGATGGTAGACCCGCTCTCTATCTGCGTGGACCAATTATTGTTCCCGTGATTATTTTGCAACACCAACCCACTCATACAAGGTGAATTAAAAGTCCCTGTGCATCGGCATTAAATAACACTGTAGTTAATTTCCTTACAGTAAATATTGGAAATGGTCACAACACTGTAAGCATGTCACCAGGATATATCATAGCAGCATGTTACCAGGATAGAACATAGCAGCATGTTACCAGGATAGATCATAGCAGCATGTTACCAGGATAGATCATAGCAGCATGTTACTAGGATAGATCATAGCAGCATGTTACCAGGATAGATCATAGCAGCATGTTACTAGGATAGTAGCAGCATGTTACCAGGATAGATCATAGCAGCATGTTACCAGGATAGATCATAGCAGCATGTTACCAGGATAGATCATAGCAGCATGTTACCAGGATAGATCATAGCAGCATATTTATGGATGAGTGCGCAGCAGCATGTTGCCAGGATAGATGAAGCGGCATGTTACTAGGATGAATCATAACCATGTTTACCAGGATAGATGAAACACGGCATGTTACCAGGATGAATCCGTAACATCATGTTGCCAGGATAGATCATAGCAGCATGTTTACCAGGATAGATCGCCAGCATGTTGCCAGGATAAATAGCAGCATATTACTGGCGGATAGATCTTTGTCAGCATGTTACCAGGATAGATCATAGCAGCATGTTACCAGGATAGATCATAGCAGCATGTTACCAGGATAGATCATAGCAGCATGTTACCAGGATAGATCATAGCAGCATGTTACCAGGATAGATCATAACAACATGTTACCAGGATAGATCATAGCAGCATGTTACCAGGATAGATCATAACAGCATGTTACCAGGATAGATCATAGCAGCATGTTACCAGGATAGATGAAGCAGGTCTATTAATCCAGACTACTCAGTCTTTTTTACACCCAGTCCTTATCATCTCATATATCTGTCCACCCTACTGTATATTTTAGGCTTCCCAGCGTGTTTGAGTTAATGATGACCAAGGTGATTATGATGTAGATGGTGAGGGCGGTGATGATGTTGGTGGTGATGATGGTGGTGGTGGTGGTGATTGGTGATAGTGATAATGGTGGTGAGGGATGAGTTAGGTCCAAGAAACTACCTTATTTTTTTACTTTAGGGAATATAATGTTAAGAAATAAAGGGTTAAAGATCTTAGTTGTTGAAACATAGTAATAACGTCAATAATACCTGCAGGGCGACTCCCACGGTGGCATTGTTGTCGTTCCAGTAGGCGTCAGTGAGCGTGGCGTTCACCTCCAGTGTCAGCATGTTGTCGTCCGGGCAATCGTTGTAGGCGAGTGTCGTGAATCCTGCGGGACGACATTCATTGACTCTCTTGTATAGTCGTAAACACAAGTCCTGTCGAGGCGCCTCGTCTCGTGAATCCGAAGCATTTATGGACAGAATAATGCATCAGTATCTACCGCTTCGGGTTCACGAGTCTGAATCTTGGGGTTCGTGGAGCAGCAGAAGGGGCGACAAGACCTTTGTTTACACTGTACACCTGTGCTAAACTCTATAATTCACGACACTCTCTTACCAGTAAGTTCATTTTTTTGACTGCCTATAATTTGGGCACAAACAGATGTAATTAGCAAGAACATTAATATACACAAGATCAAAGATATTTAAAAACATGTGGCAATACAGTGTTTACATTTGGAGAAGTAACATGATCACTTTCTATGATGCACTGTAGGGAATCTTTACCCTCTATGGCCGCCAGGTGTTGGTTACTCATGTATTGGTCACTCGCCTATGTTGGTGATGTAAGTACTTGTGTCACTCACCTGTGTTGTTGATGTAAGTACCTGTGTCACTCACCTGTGTTGGTGATGTAAGTACCTGTGTCACTCACCTGCGTTGGTGATGTAAGTACCTGTGTCACTCACCTGTGTTGGTAATGTAAGTACCTGTGTCACTCACCTGCGTTGGTAATGTAAGTACCTGTGTCACTCACCTGTGTTGGTGATGTAAGTACCTGTGTCACTCACCTGTGTTAGTGATGTAATGCCTGTGTCACTCACCTGTGTTGGTGATGTAAGTACCTTGTGTCACTCACCTGTGTTGGTGATGTCACTTGTGTCTGCCGCCTGTGTTGGTGATGTAAGTACCTGTGTCACTCCACCTGTGTTGGTGATGTAAATGACCTGTGTTGGTGAGTAACTGTGTCACTCACCTGGCTGCTAGTGATGTACTTTAAGTCCAGTGTAAGAGTGTCCACCTCATCGTCGAAGTGGGAGGCGCCTTCTAGGTCAGGGGACGTTGCTATCAAATTCTGCACTGCCAGACCCGAGCACTCCACGTTCTGTCCCCGGGGTAACAACACTGTACACTCCCACACCACAGGTATACTACACAACACTGTACACTCCCACACCACAGGTATACTTCACAACACTGTACACTCCCACACCACAGGTATACTACACAACACTGTACACTCCCACACCACAGGTATACTACACAACACTGTACACTCCCACACCACAGGTATACTACACAACACTGTACACTCCCACACCACATGTCTGTGTGCTCTAACTAGCAAACTTGTTGTACAGTATACTCTTACCAGCACACTTCTGTACAATTTTACTAGCACATTTTTTGTGCATTTACTAGTACACTTGCTGTATCTCTTTCTAGCTCATGTTGTACAGTCTTTAACACACTTACTATAAATTATTATTAGCACTCATACTATACATACTTACAAGTACACTTAGTACCTACTCTACACTTACTAACACACGTATTGGACGTTTTCTGATAAACATATTCTGCAGTGACATTACAACCCACTGTCCAATACTAGCTGTCTTCCTGTACATTCGTTCTAGTACACCTATTGTACCTGGTTACTCACCTGCCTGTATAGGTGACTCGCAGGTTACTCAGCGTGACCGAGGCACGACCTTCATTTGGCGATGACATCTGTAAAACAACACTCAGGTGAGAGGACCGAGGCCATCAAGCATGCTTGTACACTACCGGAGGCATCAGATATATTGGTGGACCTCTGTGGCCCCCTGGCATATTGCTGAGTCACCTGGCTCGTCCTACACAACTGGTGAACCACAAGACCACACTGCGGGTGTACCAACAGATTCAGATTTGCCAGACAAAGGCGCAGAGCTCTTTCATTGTGTTTTCTGGCATCCATCGCAAGGCAGAGTGCCAAAGCTTTGAAGGGGTTCCACTGGGAAGCATGACGAGTTTATACTTGTCATCTTAAACTTAGATGATCAAATGCCTCAGAGGCCACTAGTTCCTTAACCAAGTTACTTATAGTGAGGGAAGTATAAGTACTGTATGCATAAGGAGGATTCCCTGCCTAGGTTCATCTGTTTATAGCACAAGTACGAATGTGTTTAAGGCAGTTGTTAGTTGCTATTTTGTCAAAGTAATTAATTTGCAACAACAGGATGAATACTGCCACCTGAACAGGCTGTTAGATATGGATCTCATCCGATACAGAGACTTAGAGTAAAATTACTATAAAATGAAATAATGTGTATGACATACCAAAATAGTGATCATAGAATAAGGGTAGGTGTTACATACTATACTGTATGCATAAACTACACAACAGAGTCCACCTACCTATGATCACCGTGGGGGAAATATATAAAAAACAAAATATATATATAAGTAACATAATATTATGTATAGGCTCGAGACAACGGTATAATTTCTGAATTAGTGACTTTATATTTTGTATATATATTAACACACATGCACGACAAAATTGACCGCACAAGATATCCTCTTCAGGACTCACCAATAAGATCTTCATGGGGATGGTGGTGAGGGCGGGGATGGAGATGTTAAACACTGCCTTCACTGTCTCCTTCACACTTATGTTGGATGCCTCTATCACGGCTTCTGTCACCGTTGCTCCCTCAGTCCCGATCTGACCACAACACCAAAAAATAGGCAACATACAACAACGATTACTAATATAATAATAATGGTTGGCCCTCGCGTTTGAGGATGGCCGGCTTTAGGGCCATCTAGACGTGATTTTTTTTAAGATATAGAAGCTGTCATGAGCATAACAACCACACCCCATGTAAACGAGTTGTATGACTCGAGTGTCAAGGAATAATCCAAGATCACCGGACAACTCGCCAACAGCACTGGCTAATCTTATGGTAGGAGGTGTTGGTATGTGAGTACAAGTGGCAGGGGTGTGGGTTGAGGTGGTAAGGATGTGGGTTGAGGTGGCAGGGGTGTGGGTTGAGGTGGTAAGGATGTGGGTTGAGGTGGTAAGAGTCTGGGTTCAGGTGGTAAGAATGTGGTAAGAGTCTGGGTTCAGGTGGTAAGAATGTGAGTTCAGGTAGCAGGGGTGTGGGTTGAGGTGGTAAGTGTGTGAGAGCTGACCTGGGAGAGAGTTGCAGCAGCGGGAACTGTTGGAGAAGAGATGCCGAGGTTTTGTGCCTGGCCGTCGAAGGAGAGGTCAGCCGTGAACTGTTGGGTGACATAAACAGGAGTAAACTCATGAATCCACAAACATTTTTTCACCAATTGATGAAGAATCACAGAATATTATCGTTGGTGTTTCCCAATAAGACCAAGTTCATTTTTTTTTTGTAAACATGATAAGTCATTCGTAATAAGAGAGAAAGAATAATGTATTTGTGACATACCTGGAGGGAGGTGGCGGCTGGGTTTATTGGTAGGAAAGCCACTCGTACCCTCAGCTTGTTAGTGTCCGAGAAGTCCAACGTTTGTAGCTTGATGTAACACACCCGTCCTATCTCCACCGTTATGCCCTCGCTGCCGTTATACATATGGTCACTACACATCCACCATCACGCTCATGGTCACTACACATCCACCATCACGCTCATGGTCACTACATATCCACCATCACACTCATGGTCACTACATATCCACCATCACATTCATGGTCACTACATATCCACCATCACGCTCATGGTCACTACATATCCACCATCACGCTCTTGGTCACTACACATCCACCATCACACTCATGGTGTGATCTAAACTACATGCATAGTGTGTGTGTTAGAGCTGACTGCTTTTCACATCGTTGAAGTTAAGATGTGTCACTGTGTGTGTGTGTGTGTGTGTGTGTGTGTGTGTGTGTGTGTGTGTGTGTGTGTGTGTGTGTGTTCAGTTATTGTTTCATATTCATACAGCAAGATAATAGTGATTTTTATTTAAAATGATGGTTATATCAGCCATATTCATATTGATGTCAATCATATTCTCATGTTAAGTTTCAAATAATAAACAACAATAGTAGCAATAATTAATTTCAATTTATCCATAGGGTATGAGTGCAGATGCCTGCACTTATGCGTGGTACAATAGTTGGTGCGTTTTTGAGATATGGCACCTCTGTGTTTTATTTACTTTATATTTAAAACTCCTGGAACATGAATTGCACACTAAGGATGCTAGATAAATATTCCACAGAGTTGCCTCATCTCACAACATGTCCAGCCATTTTGTCTAAAACAACTATCTGTATACTTTGGGAAACAATATGAGACCAGGGACGATAAATATTGGTATATGAGGGGCTGTCACTAGTCACATATAATCTCGAGCATATCGACCCCCACACCTGCACAGGTAGTTGTTTTAGCTACTGTACATTCTCACCTGCCAGAAACCATATGTAGTATGGGTTGTCCTTATGTGGCTAAACTCGACTAAATAGCCAACAATCTAGTGGTATCAATGCCTCGGTAAAATTAGCCTCAGCCTTATCAGTTCTACCGTAATAATTTGAAAATATGTTGAATATAACCCTAAATCCTAGCTCAGCGATTTTTAACATAAATACGTAGATAGTAGTTGTGTGTGTTTGAGATGCAGACCTGGTGTATGTATGGGTGTTAGCAGAGCCGTTGACTCTGGCATCATCTCCCCAACGAAGTGACTGGCCAGGCAGGTGACGTCGCTGCTGGTGCCGTCACTGACAACAGGAGGTGGGCGTGCCCTCCACACCTCCCTCCACTTCCAACGTTCCTACCACTTGTGGCAAAACTCAGTTGGTGTGTCTGATGAAGTAAATATGTATTGTTATTTCTCAGGTTTGGGTCCAGGTGTCAGGTGAACTATTACCTCCGCAGGCTGTGTCAATCTTGGTCTGACTTTCAAAAGTTGTTTTTACAGTGAAGTAAAAAATCTTACGAATCATATAAACAGTCAGAATATTCTAAATCATCTTTACGAAGATTATATTTCGTTTCTGTCTAAAAACAACATAGCAAGAATAATAACTGCCAAGACTGTACCTGTAAAGGTAGTAAGTGTTGGTGGTGGATGGGAGGTCGTTGGAGGGGAGGCGTCCAGTGTGAGGGGTGAGTTAGCCAACTCTGTGCTTTCGTCACCTCCAATACTACGGATACTGACCTAACACACAAGGATACATATTGGTAGGGACACAAGAGCACCACAACAGCAGACTGGGTGTGTGCACAGTCATGAAGGGTGAGAAAATACAAGTTTTGTGTGTGTGTGTGTGTGTGTGTGTGTGTGTGTGTGTGTGTGTGTGTGTGTGTGTGTGTGTATTATTTATAAGATAATAAAGATAAATATTTATAAGATAATAAAGATAAATAATTTTTTTTTACTGGGATTGGCCTATGGGCACAGGTCAACGGCCCACATCGGGGCCTAGGAGGCTAAAACAAAGAACAGAAAACTAAAAATAGAAAAGGGAAAAGGTTATATTAATCTACACCGCGAAGATGCCGGAAAACCAGCTTTTAAAGTGAGACAAATTGTAAGTATGAAACACAGTTTGGCTTGTGTGGAAAAGGATGCACTATAACGGGTTATTCTACTGTGACCATCCACAGAGAGAAACGAGGGGCACCGTGAGCAAGACAGGTGCTATGAGCCCACGGCCTTGCCGGCGGTACAGGAATGCCAGGTCCACCGAACATTGCCATTAAAGAGAAGCAACATTGCGGCGAAGAGAAAGGAAGAAAGATTGTCAACTAAGGAGGAAAGATTAATAAGACGAAATGCCTTTGATTCCACCCTATTGTAACAGTTGGATGAAGAAGAACCACCCCCAGATATGAGAGCAGTACTCCAGGTTAGGATGAATGAATCCCATATACTTGAAGCAACTGCTCAGGAGTAAAATAACTACGGCATCTGTACAGCATTCCCAACTTTCGGGAGGCAGCTGTAGCAATATTGAGGATATGTGACTTTCATGACATATTAGAGAAATGGTGAGGCCTAGCATATCTACTTTAGAATTTGGCAGAATGATAGCATCCTGAAATGACTGGAATCATCTAATTTGGAAAGTATAATTGTTAAATACTGAGTTTTATTACACAATGGTTAACCAAGTTTCTATCTCCCCATTCGGAGATGCTGCTGAATCCGCATTGATAGATGTAATGATATCAGCTCTGGAACAGATCTGGTTGAGAATTAAAGGGAAGGGAAATGTGAAGAAGAGTGAAGAGTAGAATCATCAGCGTAAGAATGGATAGAATTGGTTGTAATGATGAGTAAATCATTGATAAAGAAGAAGAGAGTAGGTGAAAGTTCTTTCACCTACTCTCTTCCTATAAGGTTTCACTATTATTGGTAGAGAAAGAGCGAGAGATCGATCCTCGACAACAACTGCTATGGATCTGTTCTCAAAGAAGCTGGAGATTAGAAAACAAAGTTGGGGAGAGAAACCATAAGAGGGAAGTTTAGAAAGCAAAGACTTGTTATTGAGGTGAGAGGCAATACACGCATCAAAAGGCTCTCATCAAAATATTCCCAACCAACAAACTAATCAGTGATTTTTTTATAATCTGCATTATATTAGCTATCCTGGTATTGTTCGATGCTGGTTTTAGTGACAGTAAATAAATTGACCAAAGGACAACCATGATCTTCCTTTCATATCTCTAAAACTCTGGCGAATATCTTATCGGGACCTGGCAACTTATTTTGGTTTAATTTATTTTTTTTTGGTATCATCGATAATAGAAGTAATGTGTTACAAGGTCAAACAACACAACAGTTGATTTTACGGTTACCTGGAGGAGGAAGTTAGCACAGAGGAAGGGCTCACCATAAGATCACCCGCTGTGAAGTCTGGTAGCGCTATTGAGGATATTAATCATCAAGTCATTGTAGTCGTTGTATGTACTTGATTGGCTGTGTACCTGCACAGGGAAGCGTATAATTTCAAATATACAGTCACGATTAACAACCAATGTCATTAACAAAACACATGATTTACTTAGTATTGTAATTTCTACACTCTACCTACAATCCTTTTGCCTTTATACCTATTGTCAAGCAAAGTTCTCAGGTGCCTTTCATACAGATATAAAAAGTCCTATAAATCTCAAGGAATTATTGCAGTTCTCATAAAATTAGATATGCTGTATTAACTAAGCATAATCCGCCTAATCATCAAACCAGATGAGAAAAGTATATTGAAATATGAGCTCTTTTAGGAAACTGAATACTGTATCAGGTAAGTATTTGGTAAGATACAAATGGATAACATAACAATGATATTTATTTTTTTGAGCTCAGATATATGATTTAATTCTGCAGCTAAATGTGAATAAATTCTATATTTTATATAAATATATTGAATGTATTTAGGAGATAATTTTATGACTAGAATAACTTTTATGCTAATGTTTAATTTAGCGTTGATATGCTAATTGTTACGTTATTTGGCGTAATTGAAGGAGTCCTGAATCTGTTGTTATTATTAATCTGGCCATGGTAATATGAAAACGCATGACAATTTATGAGAAGTGTTGGCTTTTTTAATGTGGATTATGATAAATAAAATGGAAGAAAATCGGAACCTATTATTTTCTATGAGCTAAGAGGCAAAGTTCTACTGTGTCACGCCTAAAGTCGTCACACAATACTGCTACATAGATTGCCAAGCATAAAGGTAAACCAGGCCATAGTGGATGTCTGACCGACATTGGTGAGGCCGAGGAAGGTGACAATGGCGTTGACACTGCCGCTGGGGTCGTGTTGGTAACAGAGTCTTGTGGTGTTGTCCCAGGCAGACTCTCACCACGTCGCCAGTCCCCGCCCGCACACATCCCAGGTAGGGCCGCTCCATCAGGATAGCCGACTTGGCTGACTCCTGAAGGAGGGAACACCAGCCAGGTCGAAGTCGTGGGTCATGCTGGTACCTGCAAATAACAGCCTAGTACCAGCCTCTAGGCTTTTTCTGAAGTGTCTCTCTAAACATCAAGAATTAAATTGCCATCTAAATGTTATATACTGTGTTTAGAATGTACACAGGTAATGTGTTAATGATGCTGCCAAATATAATCTGTCACGATATTAGTACTACTGCAAAAATGTAGTAGTAATAGTGTTATGGCCTCCTCCATGATGTAATTTAATACCTTAGCATTGATGGTAATGACCAAGTACTGTACCATGATGCGAGGAGGATTAGATTAGTAATTTTTTTTTCTGTGAAGGAGCTGGAAAATGTCACTCAAGTTAGATCAGGTGTCATATAAAAACACCCATCGCTTATTTACGTCTTTAAACATTGAAGGTCAAAATTTCAGGCATCTGCTTGTGTACTGAAAGGCTTTAACTTAGGTTATGCTGTATCTGTCTTTAGGATAAGCCTTCACTCATAATACAATTTTGTTTTAGTATTTCGTGCATGCTTGAATTAATAGAGTGGCTGTGTGGGTATATAGCATGTGCATTACTGTAGAGGGAACTAACCTTGTGGTAGACTGAGGGTTGTGGGTCCTCTTGTCGTGGACTGACTGCTGACAATATTCTGTATACACTCACTGTCACCTCACCTG